ATATTTATTTTCTTAAATATTGACGTGCATTAAAATACCCATCTGACCTTTGCACTTCTTCTTATTGATAATGATAGTGGTTGCCTTGGAATGCAGTTGTATTTAGATGCTGCACTTGTGTTGTTAAATTCCAACATTTGGGGGCGGCTGTGGTGGAGCGGAGCGTCCTCTGATTATAGGTTTGGTGACACATGTAAATGGTCTGTACTTGTATAGCGCCTTTCTAGTCTTTCTGACCACTCAAAACGCTTTTACACTATATCACATTCACCCCATTCAGAAACCAAAAATACATATTCACAGAGGGGGGAGCAATTTGGGTTTCTGCATGATTTGCATAAAAAAGTGCTCTTGAAATATAGCCATTTACCAACAAGACAAAGACATTACAGCTGTGCTAGTAGCTCTGAGGCTATATTTAAGTAGATGCTAACATCACAATGCTGACATTGTAATTGTAGCAATGCTGATATGCCGATGGCATGTCTACATTTATTCATCAGCATTAAACAAACACAAAGTACAGCTGAGGCTGATGGGAATTTTATTATTTTGCAACTAATGTTATAAGTCTTAGAATGAAATTTTGACCTGATGAGCCCCGTGTAGCCTAGCTACCTGCCCATCCAGCTGGCACAGTACAATGCAGGGCAAAGGTGAACAGAGGCTCTCTCACCTGCAGCTTCTCGTGATGTTTGCCTCTGTTTTGTTGTATGTGTTTCTCAGTGTGTGTATTGAAGGAAAGGCTTTACTGTTGCCACACTGTCTGCGTGTGTGTGTGTGTTAATATGACTTAATATAAATCTGCTTGAATGGTTTTTGTGAGTGTGTGTTTAAGCATCTTTGGCTCATGCTTGACGTGTGGGCCCCTTTCTTTGTTTTTTCCTCATAATTTGATTCCATAAGTGAGTTCGTCTGAATTGGAGCGTGTGTGTGTTCATGTGTATGTGTGTGTGTGCAATTGTGTTAAGGGGTGGAGGGCAGTTGGATGGTTACGTGGCCCCCTGACCACAGCACCAGCTGGGGGATTATCCTGTTGAACGGATCCAGAGAAGAGGGGCCTCGCCTGGGGGTGGATGAGAGACTGGACTGGATGGGTGAGGGAGGAAGAGGGGGGAGATAGTGGAGTAGGTGGAGGGCGGTAGATTTAAGGCATGGCTTAGGTTAATTAACCTCTTGCACACTAATGGTTTATGGCCTCCACAAATCTCACAGTGACCTACAGTGGGCCCCGAGCTGGAGCTGCAGTTAGTTTAAAATCAGTTACACAAACAATTTAAATGTCAAATTTGAGTTATGTTTAGTGATTTAGTTTTGTTGTGATTTTAATAAAGCAACTGGTTCACTGTTGAGTAGCTGGTGGGCTCGTGATCAAGAGATTGGGGCTTATTGGATTGTTCACCAGAAAGATTTTGAACTAATTTGAGATTTTATGTGTGTGATTTAAATCAGAAAAGTTGTATTTAGATTACTTCTGCTCTGCTTTCTGTACAGGTAAGAATGTCTACATTGAATCTGAGTAGCACCAGAAAAACCATTACATGTTGTCTTTATTTTTTTTTTGTCAAGTAATGATTTGAGTTCTTTGCATTGCTTCTCCAATTTGCTTTTTCATGTTTTCAGTGATTTTGTTGTGTTGCCTAATGGCTGGTGTCTCTATGTTTTGTGTAAAAGTCTCACTTTATGAGCAAAAGTTTTGTTGGGCTCAGTTATTTTAGTTTTTTTTACGTAAGCTGTAAAAGCAATCAGTTACTGAAACCTTCATAGCCTCTCAGGAGACAATCTGTTAACTAGTTGATTATGAATAATGTTACACCCACTTCAGTGTGGTGTCTGTTGGTGTCTGTCACATGGAGTTCAAAGGTTAGATATTCATATTGTGCAACAGTTAATGGAGAATATGAGTAGGGCTGTAACTCACAATTGTTTTCATTATAGAACTAATCAATTAATCAGACAAATAATCAACACATTAATTGACATATAAAATGTCAGAGAAATTGTGATTTTCACTATTCAGAGTCCAAGGTGAAGCTTTCAGATGTACTGTACCAAAAGATAGTGAATTCCGCATCACAGAAGACCAATTCAGCCAGCGAATATTCAAAATTTAGAAGCTGGAACCAGTGAATTTATGGCAGTTTTGCTAAAAAGATTATTTCCTGTCGATCAACTAATTGATTATTCAACTGATCGTTTTAGCTCTAAATATTTCCGTTTGTAGTAGGGTGAGACCAGTAATCAGCTTCTATAGTTTAGGACCACAGCTATTTTCATGATGGATTTTTTGTTTAAGAATCATTTGATCTATAAAATATGACAAGTTCCCAAGTTTAATTGTTTGATTCATTTGACCACCAGTCTGAAACCAAAATATATTTATTTTACAATTATATGTGTGGCATGTTTGCTTGGTAAAGATTTAAATGATTAATTTGTTCGCACATTAAAAATCAAATGTCCAGTGATTGTTATCTGCCAACAATGTGTTTGTCTGCCTGGATATTATATTGTAATAAATCGTATTACTAGTAATGACACTCATGGTTTCAACAGAAAATTCATTTTGAATACGTTTTCAAATGCCATAATCCCTTTCAACCTGACAGGAATACATTTCTGGGGGTTTAAACAGTTTAAATTGAATTATGTATCCACAGGAAATATAAGCTAGTGACAACTTCAATCTAAAAAAAACATTAATACTTAATTAATATTTGTACTTAATACTACCAACACAGATATCAGCCTTCAAAAATCCCATATCAATCATACCCATTATGTATACCTAGGGGAGACTGTGTGGTGAAAGTAGCTTTGAGTGTGTCCGGTCTGCTCTCTACATGTTGCTGACTGTCTATAGGGTGTCAGTGTTTTGTTTTTGTAGGCATGAGTTTATTTTATCACTGTATGCTTCTACATCAGAGAGAGAGAGAGAGAGAGAGGCTGACCGACCGGCCGGCCGGACGCATTATAGGAAGTGTTGTGGAACATCAGGGGGCTCAGAGGAAGGGCTGCGGGGGGGGCTGGACTGGCTGGAGAGCCTTACTCACTCCTTACAACACACAGACTCACTCAGCAGATCACTACGACCCCTACTCAGCCATATAGTAATGGTCACTGCTTTTTGCTTTTTGTTGCCGTAAATGGACATGGAGTTTCGTGACAGGAAAACAAACGATGACAAACACAAAGCTTTGTTTATATTGACTCATGAGTTTGAGAGTTATTTCTTCACCTTGTCCGACCATCGATGCCTATGTTTTCATTTTTTCCTGCACGTCCACAGTTGAAGAGGAAAAGGTGGAGCTGACGTCTGTCTCATACTCTCCCCTAAAATACATAAGCACTGTGTGCACTTCCTACACAAATTGGCATGTAGAGAAAACAGGATATGAATCTATTGGTAGACATTTTGCAAGTCAAACATCCCCATGCTGCCACTTTTGTTATGTCACAAAGAGCCAGTGGAATGTCAAGTTAATCCTTTTTAATTAGTCAGCTGGTTATTGTAATACTCCCCCACCCAAAGCAATATAGAAATGCATTGACTAGAATCTCAGCTGAGGATCTCAAAGTTTAATAATAAAGTCAGCTGTGAAACTGATGAAGAAATGGGCAACCTAAAAAGCCTCCCGGCTTTAATATCCTGGTATGATCCTCCTTGGCATGTGTGTCTAAGTGTGTCTGAGGACGGTGATCCCACTTTAATGTGTCCCCTCATTTGTTGACTTTAGGCCCCTCCTGCACCCCCTCCTCTGCTTACGGTTGTCTCAACACTAGGTGCCACTTTATTTGTTTTCACTAACCTAATTTATGATCTGAGGTGCTCATTCCAGGTTTGGATTAGCAGCCGTGGGGCTGATGTGATCATGTTTTGTCGTCCACCATGTGCTTTAAATGGCTGCCTCAATGTAACAGCTAAGTCGCCTGATCTCAGTGACACAATATTTTACAAACCACATTTAGGATGAAAACATTTTGATTCAGGTTTTAGTGGCTTTGCATGTTTTAAGTAGATGTGATGGATTGCATGGTCTATTAATTTTGGACCCCTCGAGCTTATGAGACCCTGTCAGACTCCACTGGAGAAACTGAAAGTATAGTGTGCACTGTGCAGTCTGCAAAATCTGTAAAGATGTTTCTGCGTTCCTAGTTGTTAGTTGATATTTTGTGAGTGAATCATATGGTTCTGTGAAAATTGTGTCTAAAGCATCCCAGAAAACAACAATTTTAATAAACAATGAATTCATCAAGCAAAAACATACCATTTCTTGTGGGTTCCAGCTTCTTTGATGTGAGAATTTGCTGCTTTCTGCTCTGTGGTACATTATTGTTAATTGAATATCTTTTGGGTTTTGGACATCGCTCTGGGTTATGGGGAGCGTAAACAATTCATTTATTGATTACAAAAAAGTATGAAGAGATAATGACAAGAATGATCTTTTCTTCATCCTGTAACTTATGCCATATGTGGTTTATGTTAAAGTGTTGATGCTTACTATGTCAGAACAGGCTATCAAATGACTTTACATGATTACAAACTACAGCTTTTTTATATAGAGCATTTGCAAGTATGTGCAATGTACATCAATAAAATCCTTGTCAGAAAATCGTCCATAATGAATTTTATTCTGTTTCTTCATATGTAGCCTAAAAGTTTGAAGAGGAAGCTGTGAAATCCTTGCAAAACGTTCCCTGGATAAATCTGGACTGGAAACTCCTTACATAGCACCATGTCAATTTCATCATCCTTTTCTTGCTTTCCCAGGACTGCCCTTCCAGACCATCATCATCATCATCATCATCATCACATCTGTGGATTTCATACAGACAGAACCACTCCCTGCAGCCTCCTCCCTTTCTCTTACCCTCATCTCCCCCAACCCACACCCTGAACCCCCTGCTCTCTGGTCCCCTTTCCGTCGTCCCACCACGTCTGCGGAGTGGGTGCCGGCTCCCTCCCCCAGGGGTGGGAGTGAGGAGCTGGGGGACGCACTCGACAAACCCCTGGAGAATGATGCCGAGGGCGTGTGGAGCCCAGACATTGAGCAGAGCTTCCAGGAGGCACTGGCCATCTACCCACCCTGTGGCCGCAGGAAGATCATCCTCTCTGACGAGGGCAAGATGTACGGTACGCCCACCTTTATCATCATACTATCCATGTACCTTTTTCTTCTTGAATGGGATGATAAACACAACACCTGAAGATCAGCTCACATGCAGGTCAGGGTTGAGGATAATGCTCTTTAGCAAAAAGTGAAATAAAAGTTATAGTCTGTGAACCTCTCCTCAAAGACGCTACTACTCCTCAAACAGACGCTACTACTACACCCACAGTGCAACACCTGCAGTATGATGGGGCACAAACAGACAAATAGACATTTGTTTCATATACTCTCTCCCACACACACACACGTTCATCATCACTCCTTGTGTTCATGTTTCACATCACTCCCGTTTCCTGCACAGCTGTCAGCTCCACTTTGTCCCATAGTGAACAGTATGATGGCATGATGTGTCAGAAACAAGCGCACAAACTTTAATCACTCAGTCTTCTACGCATGCATGCATACAAAATTTGCCTCTCATGCAGACTTCAGTTTGATCATTTTCTATCAGAAGCCATGATATTTAACTGAGAATGAAAACAATACACTGACACATAGAAAAGCAAAGCTGCATTTCTATTCACTCCTTCAAGATCCATAATAATGACAAATCAATTAAAAGTAAAGCATTAAAGTATCAGCTTCATCAACATACAGAGTTATTTTGGCTAGACCTATGTCCCAATGTATTTCTGGCAGTGACAGTGAGAGCGCTCCAGTGTTCTTGTTATCAAAATGTGCTCCATATCATTCAACCTAAACAGGTTCAGAAGAATGAATAACTTCCTACAAAGCGTATACTGCTTGTGTTTAAATGGCATGGATGCTAACTTTTGTGTGTTGTTGCCTCAAGTACTCATTAGAAATGAGAAATGTTGATGGGTTTTTCCACACTAAATGTTGCTTGACCAGATTTCACATTGTTTGTGCTATTTGGCAACCTATCTAAAATAATGATCTGAGGTTTGGAGCAGCAAAATAACTTTACTGAAGGTCTTTCCATAGTGAATCTTTGGGTATTGTCATTGCAAAACAGGTGTTGGGAAGGTGAGGTGACATTCCTCTCCGACACCTTGCTGAAAGATATTTGGTAACAGATGGCTTGCCCATAGTGTGTCCTCCTGCTTGACTGTTTGATAGTGGATCTGGTTGTTGGAAAAGGGGCGGATAGAGGTAGTGGCGCTATCAGACAGCCTCTGTCATCGCCTTGTTTTGTCACAGTGCCAGACAGCTCCTTTAACTGTTAGCTTTGCCTAGCCAAGCTTAGCCACCTATTGAGGTCATGGCCATCGTCTGATCAACGCTTAAACCCTTATAAAGCCAGTAATAATAGTTGGAGGGGGTAGAGGAGGGAGGGGCAGGTGGCTCATTCTGTCTCACGGGGATGGGGGGCTGAATGAGCATAGGTAGTGATGGTGGGGGTTTTGGCAAGGCAGGCACTGAGGTGCCCCTTCTTCCCTGTGGGGGTTAGGGGCAGGTGATGCACGCCAGGGAGTGCGTTGGCCCGCCAGGAATGGCATGTGCACTTGGGAGCCCGGGGGTTCAAGGCAGCTCGGCTGTAACCCTAAACCAGAATAGACGTTTACCCTTTGAGCACTTGAAGGGGAGGGAGGACGGGTGGACAAATAAACACCAAGGTGGGCACTGGTGTCTTGCATGGCCTCGGGCCCCAGTAGAACGGTCTCACACCTGTCCCCAGCATGTGTGTGTATGTTTCAGAATGAGAAAGGTAGAGGTTGTGTATTTTTCTTTACCTCCTCTGCTCCCTGCTTTTTCTGTGACTTATCTCCCACAGTTCTCTTTGTCTCAGACTCTTTCTTTGTCCTTTATGAACAACCTCTTCTCCCTTTCTCTCATTCTGTCAGTTGGTCTGTCTGCCTTTCAGTTCACCTCCAGCTGCTCTCAGTTCAACCTGACAGCCTTGTGGCAAAGCCAGATTTATGACTTGAGAAATGAGGCAAGACTGAGCCAGTACATGGCCCGCTGTGCCCCTAAACAGCCTGACCAGTTCTTCCCTTACCTCCCCTGCAGCTCCCCTGTTCTGTGCTTTTATCACCATCCCCGCGGTCACAAGTGGCCAACAACTCAAGTCATTCAAGCTACAATCAATGCAAAGCCACTTTGAAGGTCTTTAGTGTTGTTAATGTTGTTAAAGCGCTGATGGGCGGTCTTAAATCAGGTAGCCAAATCAAATATCAGCTGAGAATATCTTTAATGGCATATATGAAATGGTGAAGCAATGACTTGATAGTTTTAGAAATGTTATTTAGTCTTCTTGCATGGGCTAAATATGGATACACACGCAAAACAAAACTCCTAGCAAAATAACTGTCTGTTGGCCTAGAGTGACATACTCTGAATATTAGGTTGAATTCCCCTCTGAGGAATGAATGCCATTTTTTGCTAAACAATATGATATTGAGTCTCTGAGCAGCGAAACAGAAGGAATGTGTGCTTCTATCCATTGTAAATTCCTAAATTGACTGGAATGTTTTTACCCCATATTCCGAACATTCACCACATTTTTTTCCCATAATGCTGTGCATAGCGCTGGCACTCGCGCCCATTAGTGAACAGACATATTAGTTCGCTTATTAGGGACGGTGTCACGGATATTGTGGCGGTTATGTGCTCCGGTGGTAATTCGACATGCATCTGCCAAGGAAAATATTTCCTGCCTTGTGTGGCTCTCAGCAAGAGACGTGCCCTGTGGTCTGACCGAAGGCCTCATGCTGCAATAATGGAAAAACAGTCCCGAACTTGTAGTGCAATGGAAACTAATGTGCTGACAACTAGAAGAATGAAGCTAGAAGAATGTGGCACTGGAAATGTTATTATCTTTCCTCTTTATTTACTGCCATATGACTGCCATATTAATTTATGTGCCCCTTTTGCAATTGTAATTGTTTTCTTTTATGATGTCTTTTGACTAATTTTTATTTGACAGCATTCAGTCTTGCAAAATGCAGCTGTTTGGTTTCGTCACACTTGTTTTCCTGACATCTGTGAGAGGAGCTCTTTTCTCATATTTTGATGGGTACTGCTTCCTGTGGGGAACTTTTTTATCTTGTGTTAGTGTAGTGGGTAAAAGCAACCAAGTTTCCCTCAGTAGTGGCATATTTTTCTGTCAGTTCAGAACAAAGAATACCCACACAATGAATCACGCTCCCACTTAGCTTCGCTTGTGCAACGTGTCAACCCATTGTGGGTTTTTGTCAAGCACTGCAAATATGTTTTCATCTCAAGCCATTCTCATTAAGAGTGTGATGTAAAGGTCAGCGAAAAGCAACAGCGAGTCCTCACCCGGGTACAAACTTTGGCAGTAAAGTGAGAGATTCACCAGTGACCTTGACCTGCTGACCTTTTGAAGAAGCCTCTTTGGCAATTAGATTTTCCTCATATGAATATTCATTCAGACACCAGTTTATTAGATACACCACTTGAGAAGGCGGATGAACATGAACCTCCTATCATGTGAACAACCCCCTGCTGCCTGTGGAATCTCGACACAGCTCCCTCCATCTCAGTCACTGTCTTTCTGTCTGTCACAGTGTAACCAATAGGACATGGTGAGGAGAGACAACCACGTAACAGAGCTGTCACTGTCACTTTATGTAGACATCTCAGATCAGCAAGGTGAACGGAAGGATCCAAACAGGCCAGACATCTTTTGATCTGTCTATTCCATTAACTGACGTTGAGCCTCACACAAACTACCTCTGCATAAATCTCTGTAATCGCAAATACACTCGTGGTAGGTTGTGTTAATGCAACATGGCATCTGTTTAAACTTACTAGGAATACTATACTGTCAGAAATAAGACTAAACTTCAGATCTGGCTTATATAGCAGTGCATCTGGTTACCATGCTGATAAGTGCAGGACTCTTGTATGATGGGAAGCTGTGGTTTTTGTAAGCTTGAATGACACCTGTCAGAGATTCTCAGTGGGAGATTATCAGAGGCAAACTAACAGAAATTGAGTTAATAAGGGAGAGGGAGGAGAGCTAGTAACATTTTATCTTATGGGTTTTCTATTTGCTAATAATTTCTCAAAGGTTTCATGGAAAGAACTATGTCATTTGGTACTAAATATAGGCGAAATAGAGAATAGAGGAATTTATGTAAAGAGAATGCTTCAATGTACATTTATATCCAAGGAAGGTTAAAATCAAGAGCAAATGGACTTGGTTAAAGATACTCAAAGACGGTTCACCTCTCATCCAAGAGGCTTCTTCGGTTCTGACTGCCTTGAAGGGAATCCCAGCTATTTAACCTCAGAGGGGTCTTTTCTAAAGTTATCGATACTTCTTAGTTTGTTCGTGCTCCTGGCTGTTGTGATGACACTAAATATGTATATAAAATAAATAAATAATATATTTATAATTTCTTATTAGAAGCTTGGTTTAACATATATGTTGAATTTTTTGCGGATTTATGTATTTTCAGCTGTCCAGCTATGCACTCAACAAAAGACTAGAGTACCAATTGAACACTGTCTCCATTTTAGCTAGCATACCTTATAGTTAGTGCCAAATTAGATACTTATTTCCAGGAAACTTCCAGGAAAAAATTAGGAAATAACAGACCTCTGGAATAAAGCAGGTAAGTGCTCTATTTGTGAGTCTTCTGGAATATCTGCATGAATTCAAAAATACTTTTTTTGTGAATAGCATCTTTACAATTACATTCCTCTAATTTGAAAGGAATACATTACAATAGCACAAATTTAAGGATAGTTTACCTATATTAGTCTCATGAAAATATTGGTTAAATAATTAATTTTAGCTTTTTATATGGTTTTGGTTTTAGTAAAAAAATTAAAAAATTAAAATGTCCTGGAGCTCAACGCTCTTAAGACAGTGGAGATGGCTGTGGATTTAAGGCCACTCTCCCCCATTACCCCGTGTGACGCCACAGTCAACACTTTGGAGTCTGTTTGCTTCCTGGACAGCTTCATCACCCAAAAACTTGTGGGCGCTGAACATCATCACCTCCCTCAACAAGAAAGCCCAGCAG